GTGAAATATCAGGAGAAGGAATTCTCTCCCACAATTTTTAATTATCCTATCTTATCCAAACTTTACAGTGGCAACTTTCCGTGGGCAGCCTCCCCGCAATCCAGGTGCCACAGTTGATTTGTGATATAATAAATTATTTTTTTTTTAATGAGAAATGAGCACGCTTTTCCTCCTGCTGGAATTCCTGCCTTTCCTCAAAAGTTGGGTAACACTGCCTCCTTGGGGAGGCCTTGGCGTGTGCATGGGAGGAGAAAGAGAGGGCAGAGCCAGAGGCAGCTGAGAAGAAACACTGATTTTTCCCTTTGTTTTTGATTGCTTAGTTGTTCCTGGAAAGAAGAAGGTATGGAACTGGGTTTCCTACTTAGAAGAAGAACGGATGCCAGCTGCTCCTCTAAAGCTGTTCCGAGAGGTCAGCGGCTTTTTCAACTCTCTCGCTGTGTTTTTTCTTGGGCAACACCGCAGAACTAACTAACTCAGCAGAGGTAGGATTGGAGCCTGCCCGCGAGCCAGCAGCTCCGTGTATGAGTTGTTGCGGTGCAGGCGGGCAGTAAAACCCCGACGTGTTTATTTCCAGCCCTGAAGCGCTGTGGAAACAAGCATCTGTGCTGTGAAATCTCATCCCAAAGCGGGGCGTAAAAAATGCTGATTGAATCTCACTCGGAAATAAACACCCGACTGTTTCGATCTGTTTTGGGTGGCTCTGCCTAAACGGGCTGTTGGGCAATCTCCAAATAACGCCGGAAAGAGACAGCTTAATGTCTTTCGTATGTCCTGTGCTTCGCCGGTGGTTGTACAACACCCCTTCCTCTGTAGAAAACTGCAGTGTGGACGTCGTAGATCGAGAAGCGGCTGTTAAGAGAGAGGCTGGAAGCTCTGGTCGTTCGCGGGTTGATACGCTGAAGGTGGGAGAGGATGAGCTCAGCCTTGGTGAAGCCACTTCTGTGCTCCGGTGCTCCGGCCCCTGAGAAAAGTTCAGCTCCCAGTGAGCTCCTCAAAGCCGGGGGCTGCTGGCGCCTTACCGAGCGGGAGAGGGAGAAAAATCAGGAGGCAATAAGCCATTTGTGACTCCAGATTCCTTTTAAGCCTTTGGTATACTTCAGCTGTTTAATTTGGATTAAGGCCGCAAATAAATGAAAACCACAACTGTTTTCTGGATTGCCTGGGTAAACGGGCTCCAGCTCAAACGTGCCTTGTCCCCTTTACCATTTGGAGAGGAGAGGTCACCTTCTGGGGAGCCCTGAGCTGCTGACCTCGAGCTGACACAGGCAAAGCGATTTTAGCTTCCCTGGGTCTTTGTTTCCGCCACCCCTCCTGCATCAGGCTGCAAAGGGGATTCTTTTGTATTTGAATCGAGCTCATTTCTGCATCTGCTGGAAGGTTTGTTTGTAACTAATTGCAGCAGACACGAGGTTCGGTGTTTTGGGGGGATTAATTTAGAAAAGTAAATCTGAAATACGATGATCACGCCATTGTTGATCTCCGTACCTACACGTGTCTGTTAAATCAGCAGTCATTTAGTGATAGAATTTTCTTCTCCGAGTTGAAAATTTGAAGCCTCAAGTATATCTGATGAGCGCTCTGCAATAGATTTTGTCTGTGGAAATTTAAAGCAAATGTTTCCTTCTTTTCCTCCCTCACAGTATCAGTCATTCCCACAAGGCCGGAATGGATTTAAAGTTGGGATGAAATTGGAAGGGCTGGATCCTGAACACCCCTCTCGGTTTTGTGTCCTTTCGGTGGCTGAGGTAGTTTTTCTCCCTATCTTTGATTCCCAAAGTCCTGTGTACATTTAGGATTTTTTTCAAAGAAAAGTAGAAATGTGAGAGTAATAGTACTTTAAATAATCAATGGTTAGGAGGAGTTCAGGGTGACAAGGAATAATATTACGTGGTTAAGGATGAAATCCTTTTACCTGAAATCCTGCTGTCTCACAACAATAAACCTATTAATGGATAAATCTTAAAAGAGTGGAACTAGCCCTTAATTCTTAGGATATATATAAGCGAGTCGAAATGCCTTTTATGCGTCTTCAATTCTGTGAAATCGGTGTTGATCAGGTACAGACATGAATGTTCTCAGGCTGAATTTGTTCTCCAGATATTGCCGCCCAGGAATGTGTCCGTCAGCGGGGAGCGGGTGGCCGGCCCTGTCACGCTGACCGGGTTCATTTCCAACTACTTCAAGTGAGGAAAGAGGAGCATGGAAACCGAGACACATAAATGATGAGAAATAAAACTAGGCTTCTGAGAAATAAATGAGATTAGTTACTTTTATCTGTACATCCAAACACAGGGAGAGTATTTGATTAGTGTTCTTTAACTTCTTGATGACCCTTTATGATAACCAGAGCCCCCTGCTTACAGGTGCAAGGGTACAGAATGCGATTACATTTTGACGGTTATCCAGAGTGCTACGACTTCTGGGTTAATGCTGATTCCTCAGACATCCATCCTGTTGGCTGGTGTGAAAAAACAAGCCATAAGCTGCTCCCTCCTAAAGGTACGGGGAAAAAAATAGAGTGGTTTATAAGAAACTATAAATTCTACTAAGAACTAGTTGTCCTGGCTGTGCATGTTTCGTTTTTAGTGTGGTTTCGTTATGGAATTCGATGTTGAGTGGCTTAAAGGGAAGAGGTGTAGGTAAGATAATGAATCACAGAAGAACAGAGCAGCTTCCTTTTGATATTCCTCAAGACTGACACTGTTAATCAAATTAGAAGCTTTTTCGGATGAGCCTGTAAAGCCGGGAGTCTCTTTGGGGTTCCGAACTTGCTGCTTTCCTGCATTCCATTTCCTAGAAACATTTCAAGGTAGAGATTAATGGTTGGACATTACAGTGAAAAAGAGAGAGATGTTTTAGCTGAAATGCGTAACCCCTGAAGATTGTAGAAGGGCAGTTATCATGCAAAGTTCATATTCTTCCCAGGTGATTTCCATTTCTGAAAAACCAATCTGAATGCAACAGGGCTCTGTAAGACAATCTTCTTATCTCTCTTTCTAGGTTTCAAAGAAGGAGAATTTAATTGGACTTCCTATTTGAAGAATTGCAAAGCTCAAGCAGCTCCAAAAAGCCTTTTTAAGACCCTCAGCACTGTAAGTGGTGATAGGAGATGTTTCAAATAGATCTGATGCTAAGTGAGTTTGGGGCAGAATATTTACATGGTTTTAATACGCTCTTGTCAGAGGTGCAACTGCGGTACAATCAGATGCAAGCTATTTCCTGCAGTGATTTATTTTTAAGATGGGAAACTAGTACAATTTTTCTTCCTTCCCCCAGTCACTGACTCGCCAGAGAGAGAATTTGTATTTCCCTTCCTCCTTAATACTGGAGGAAAAGATTTACTCTCCCATTTATTAAATATATTACAACGATCTGTTTTGCTGTGTCCCTACAGTCGACAATCAGATGCAAGCTATTTCCTGCAGTGATTTATTTTTAAGATGGGAAACTAGTACAATTTTTCTTCCTTCCCCCAGTCACTGACTCGCCAGAGAGAGAATTTGTATTTCCCTTCCTCCTTAATACTGGAGGAAAAGATTTACTCTCCCATTTATTAAATATATTACAACGATCTGTTTTGCTGTGTCCCTACAGTCGAGATATTTGGAATTTGTATTTCCCTTCCTCCTTAATACTGGTGGAAAAGATTTACTCTACCATTTATTAAATATATTACAAGGGTCTGTTTTGCTGTGTCCCTACAGTCTAGATATTTGTGTCACTTCCCTCTAATTTAATGATTCCCAAAATAATTTCTGGTTTCCAGCAGCATACTCATGTGCACTGGGGGATTCATTATGAGGCTACAGATCTTGAGCATTTTTCATCCTTCACCCACTGTTGCTTTCGTTTCGATTGTTGGCCTCGGTCCCACTCTAACACTCCCATTTCATGTCACTCAGGTGACACAGAGTCTGTTGGATTTGACGTGGACTTCAGGAGGGGAAGGGCCCAGCTGTGCAGCTCTGCTCTGCTTCTGACCCAGCCACCTGTTTTCCGCGAAGACTCTTGAGGAAAACAGGTTTTCCTCAAAGGCTCTCGAGGAAGACAGGTTTTCCTCAAACTTTCGCACTTAGAGGACAGGACGTGCAACACTCGCGCTCATCCTCGGCCAGTGCTCATCACCGCAAGGCGTGTGCATCCTGGCCTTGGCATTTTGTATCTGGAGAGGCTGTTATTGAGCTACATCAGCTCTTTTTTAGAAGTAGTAACAATCGGTGCCAGAACACATGGAAATCCTCTCTGTAGACCTCTTGCCCGTAACTGTAGTGTGTTTTGGTCAGTGGGTTTCAGGGTTATAACGTGCAACGAATGATTTTATAAGGGGCTTTCAAATAGCCTGACCTGGAGCGTGCCTGACTTCCCTTCCCTGATGTCCTGTTCCTCAGCCTGTCACACCCTCTGGTTTTCGTCTGGGAATGAAACTAGAGGCAGTGGACAAGAAGAATCCATCACTGATGTGTGTCGCGACCATCACGGACATGGTGGATAACCGCCTGCTCGTTCACTTCGATAACTGGGATGAGAGTTACGACTACTGGTAAGGAGATTCTATTTCTGATATATATCCACAAGTAGGCTGTGGTTTATTTCACTCCTCCACTAGGAGTGATATCTAGTATTTTAAATGTAGCCTCTAAAGTTGGGATCTTAAATCGGTTTCCAAGCATCTGAATAATTACATTGGGTTTTTACAAAGTGCCGGTTGCCCAGAACCTTCCTTTGCTGTCTTGAGTTGCTCAGTGCAAACCCCGTGGGGTTAGCTTGAGCTGCCCTTGGAGCGTTGGGGTAAAAAGCGTTGGAGGGGATGCAGCTGAGCCAGGGAGCGCTCCTGTCATCTGTTCCTCTGGCAGCGCTGAAGGAAGAGTAAGCTCCACTAGTGACACCACCTGGAATTAGTAACATCTCCTCCTCCAGGGCTGGTAGTGGCTGTCGGCGGCACTGAAGTCAGTAAAAATCTTTTCCGTTCGCTTCAGCGGAGTGGGGCTGAGCCCATTTGGGAAAAAAAAAAAAAAATTGGTTGCCAACATTTAGGCTACTAAGACTTGCCCGGCACTACAGTTGTTCTGCATCTGAGAATCTTCACCCCACCTGGGGGCAGCTGGAATAGTAGGCAAGGAAATGCTTTCCATTTTTACTTTTTTGTGTGTTTTCCTCCCTACATGAATGGAGCAACTGTCTTTGAATGTGTCTGTGAAAGCAGCACAAGGCACACTGATTCGGTCAGTGTTCTGTGTTCTCTCCCCCATCTCCTTTTGTTTGCATTTTTCGGAATTGTTTGGTAGCAAGCTGGTCTTTTTTTTTCTTTTCCATAAATACATCACATAGAGCTTTATAACACCAGTGTTCCCTTTTGCAGGATTTTAGATCTTGTTCCTTTACCATTTTAGCCTGCAAACTTTTGTTTCCACGCCAAGTTTTGGTTAGAATTTGAAAATTTTCATGGGAAACACAAGCAAACAAAGCTTCAAAGTACAGGTTGGCTGAAAACACTTTTTTTTTTCTCAAGTCTGAAAGGCTGCTTTCGTCCCTTTGTCAGAGCAGATGTGACAAAAGGGGCTGTCTCAAATTCAGGGACTCAGAAGATCTAAACATGCAGTAAAATCGGGAGGCAGACAAACTACCACTAGGTTTCAGCTGGAATGAATGGATAACGCGGTTTTTGGCAAAGACCTTAAAAGTAATTTCTCTTTCTTCCACGAGAATGGTGTTTCAGTTAGGGCTGAAGGTTTGATTTTTGTTTCTCTGCTTCCTCTGCATTTTAGCTTGAATGATCTGTGTCCAGGCTGAGCTGTGGTTGGTACGATCTGGGAGGGGGGAGTTTTTTGTTGATGTTTTTTTAAAGCACCAGACATTTGTATTCCCCTAGCTTTTGGGGCAGCTTGAACGCCTTGAAAACTTGGCATTATAAATTCAAACGAGGTGATGCTTGTCTTTTACACCATGATCACACCTACCGAAAGCATCTGCTAACCCAGCGAAGATAGCATTTGAAATTCTACTTTTCGTTTTGCTTTAAAATTGACTGGTGCCAACTTTCCTTCTTTGGTTCAGGTGTGAAGCGAGCAGCCCCTATATTCGTCCTGTTGGCTACTGCCAAGAAACTGGAACCCCACTGACAACACCACCTGGTAGGTTGAAAGTGAAACTTAGTTCTTTCCTCAGCTAAAAAAACCTGCAAGCACTATCTTCCATGTAATTACAGATTTGCAAGTTACGGGTTCCATTCAGTACTCTTGCGTCTGCTGACGCTGTTGTTCATACTTTTTACCACTGCATTTTGTTTGGTTTTGTAGCTTTTCCCAAAAATGGAGCGGGGTTTGGGTAATTTGTAATGCAGTTAGATTTCAGAGGGGAAAGAACTTTGAAGTATTTGCAGCATGTCCTTTAAGGTGAGCTGGAAGAAAGAAGAAGCAACATCATGATTAGATTTTAGGAAGAAAATCTTCAGTACGAGGGCAGCAAGACTTTGGAATAAATTGCCCAGAGAGGCTGTGGCTGCCCCCTCCCTGGAGGTGTTCAAGGCCAGGTTGGACGGAGCCTTGAGGAGCCTGATCTAGTTGAGAGGCGTCCCTGCCCATGACAGGGAGGTTGGATTAGATGATCTCTAAGGTCCCTTCCAGCCTGGGCCGGTCTAGGATTCTATGATTTCATAGAGAGTCAGGTGGAGTTTCTGGAAATGAAGGAGTAGTTAAAGCCGCATCTCTTTCTGCTGCACTGGAAATCAGTAAATGAACAGAATGTTGGCAAATGAAGAAGGACAGAACTTAGAGGAAAATCAGGCCTTGGAAGTGCTTGTGTTCACCCTAAAAATAACAAAAAATAAAAAAAAATTATATCTATCAATGTTAGATTGACAGCCCTGGAGCAAGAATTTTGGTAACTTCTGCATATCAAGTGTAGGAGAGTGGGTGGCACTGCAAGATCGCTCTGCATCGGAGGAATTAGTCTCTGTGCTTTCACTGCAGATGCAAAAAGTTGTAAATGCTTACTCCTAAGAAACACCACATCTCTTCCCACTCCTGGAACGTGCAGCGGGGCTGTGGCGTGTAGCTCCCCTGCTCCTGTCACAGTTACCTGTGCCCCCAGCAGCATCTGCAGTCACTTCTCCTTTCGCTGCTCAGAGATTTACGTGCAGCAGTTCGCGGACTGGCCTATGTGTTTAGTCATTGCACCCGCCCGCCAAAAGGAAACAATACTGAGGCTGAAAAATACTGAAATAGGAAGGGGGAAAAAAAAAAGTAGAGCGGTTTCCTAAATACAGCTGCCAGGGAGAGACATCCTGTTGGAGTAACACCCCCATGTAGGTGTCTGAGATGATGGGAACAGCGATGCAGGCTCTTATCTCCAGACTGCGAGTTTTACTCCACCGTGGGTGAGTAGGTAGCAGGAGGCGAGAAGCTTCTGCAGTCTTGCAGGCACTCACACACAGAATAGTTAATGAAACAGGAAATTAATTTAGTGATGCCGTTGCACATTGCGAAAGCCTCTGACTAGCTCTTAATTGGCAGCTTTCTCTAGAGAATAAGCATTGATAAAGCTGTAGATAAATGAGCTCTTCAGGTTTCTCAGGTCAGGGTTAAGGCCCTGTGTAGAAGCTGGCAAAGCTTGCAGCACTGCTGCTTGTGCTGGAAGTGGAGGGTGTGAATAAACAGACGGCTTTCCAGTGCCATCCCTTGCAAGTGCTAAATTAACATAATAGCCATGTGTTTGTAGCTGCTTTTCTGTTGTTGGTAACGATAAATGTGAGGGTTTTTCTTACTTAAATGTTAATTCTCTGGTTTGTTTTTTTTTCAGGATACAAAGATTCCAAAGCCTTCTCATGGGAGAAATACTTGGAAGAAACCAACTCCCAGGCAGCCCCAGCAAGAGCATTCAAACTGGTTGGTGAATCTGATTGTCCTGGGTCAGGAGTGTGGGGGAAACTGCGCTTCTCTACCCTTCTTTGGTAGCTGCCGTATTTAACGGTCGTTGACCAAGTCCATGCCAAGAGGGTGAAACTGGGCCTCTTACTTGGAGTTTAAGATCGTCTCTCATTGCTGCTAAAAAGCAAAACACACAGCAGACTGCAAGACATTTAAAAAAAAAAGCTCTGAGAAGCTCTCTTGGAAAGGGTTTTTGACTCAACGTCTTCACTCGCTCCATTAGTGGATTTAAGGGAAGAGCCTTCAGTCCCCGTGGGTAATTGTTGCTTTCAGGGGAAAGCGTGAAGGGCAGTACCTTTCCTTGGAGGGGACATGCCGAAAAGGAAGAGCTGGTTTTCTGCTCCTGGGCAAAGAAGATCTCCCAGTTGACACCTGAGCAGGATCGATGTGGGTTGAACAGGCATTTCCAGACTCACGGAGGTCAGAAGCAGACACCACTGGCCTGCAACTGGTGGGGAAAGGGGGAAGGGGTGGGGTGCTTGGATGTGTTTGAGGGGGAGTGAGAAGTGTGCAGTTCCTCCCTCAGGTGTCCACGTGAAGTTTTAAAAGCTTCTCTAAAATATTTTCACATTGTGGTTGTGCAGATCCTCCTCCTCCTGGTTGGTGAGGCTGGGATTAAGGTAGAGTGAAAAGTTCCTATGAGGGAAATATGTTCTAATATAGATCCGAGTTCTTCTGGCAAGAAGCCAGCTGTGCCCTCCACAGAGCTAAGTGTGTTAACAGATGAGAGAGCATCTCTGCCAAACTCCTAGATGAAGATCATCTTGCAGGCTAAATCTGAAGATGGTTCTCTCAACCTTGGGAGCTCGAGCTTTTGTCTCTTACATTAGAGTTCGGTGTGTTTGTCTGGAAGCTCACTGTGAGCACTAACAAAACAAAAGCCTTTAAAATAACTTCATTTTAAAAAAAACATACTTGAGGGTTTTGGGTTTTTTTTTGTCTTAGAGCTTCTTCCACACTGCTGGCTCTCCTTGCTGTATTTTGCAGTATGTTTAACAACTTTCTGCTGCCCTTGTGACGCTCGTCTTGACTCCTTTCGATGAAGTTAGAGTTGTAGGTTAATACGTGCTGCCCTCCTGTATATTGTGTTGGTAAGCACTGTGGGACTGAGGAGGAAAAGCAATCAAGGAGGCCTCAGATAAGGCAGGTAAAAGCCCTGCCAGACAAGTTTGATAATTGCCAGATTTTGGCAGGTGTCCGTTTGAAATTGTCAGGAATGGGAGGAGGCCGGGTTTGCCTCTTGAGAGAGCTGCGAGTTCCGTGCGGCACAGTCAAACTCCAAATCGTGCTGTGGATTGAGGTTTTCCAGGGGTGGGCAGACAGGATCTTCGATCGCACAGCGCGGCGCGTGAAGCACTTTGGAGCCCGTGAGCAGGATAATGAGTGGAGCTCATCAGCAGGACTCAGTCGTTTCCCCCAGCGTAGGTTCAGTCTTTTTCTGAGCCATGCTCGTAAAATCCTGGCAGCGCCGGAAAATGGGAACGTTGAGAGTATGAGAGCGAAAGAATGCAGCAATCAGTCTTCTGCACAACAGAGGAACAATACAAGTCGTTTGGTAGAGACAAATATTTTGGGAAGATCATAAAACTCTTCGTGATACAGAAAGAAAGAGTGAAGCATGACCTACTTAATACTGGCAGTCTGGAGTTCTCAGTGATCTGTCATTGCAGCGTTACTTCCTCAGATGTTCGGAATATAAAATGTGTTGGGAAGTGACACCTGGAGGCCTTTGGTCGGGACAGGGAACCTTTTCAGTACCGAGTGCTCCCTTTTTTGTATTCTTCCAAAGTGAAGTGTCTTCCCAAGGGGGAATGCAACTGCCTTGTCTGCCTGTTTTCCTGGTCTGGGAGCATCTCTGCAGCCAGTTTTTTGCTCCTAGTTTTGAGAAAATAGCAGAAAGGCCAATTCTGGCTCTCGGAATACTCCGGAATATGAATTAACATCCAAGACAGTTTCAAAAAATGAGACAGGAAAAAAACGGCATTTGATAGATCAACAGTTAATAGAACTCTTTCAAGATAAACCTTGTTATTTTTCTGGCTTGGATAGTCTGAAGTGCAAATACATGACACAGTTATTGATTTTTTTTTTAATTATTATTATTATTCCAGCTAGCAATTACAGGAAGCCAGTACATAAAAATACAGGTTGAGAGCCAGAACAGACATTTCTCACCAAATTAGTTTTTAACAATTTTCAAGAGCTCTCTTAGGTGCTTAGTCTGAAGACCCCGATAATGAGTACAAACAGCAGATCTTGTGTCTGGATTTCTGCCTTCTCCTCCACCCAGAAATGCAGGAGGAGACTATTTGGTTGTCAAAAAGGCAGCAACCCTTCAGCAAGACTTCAACAGCCCCGCTCATCTCCTGGGCAGCGTTTTGTTCTCCAGCACTCGGGCTCCTTCCTCAGGGCAGACAGACGAGGTTGGCTGGTTCAGTAAGACACTCTTAAAACTAAAAGCAGTTTAGATTGTCTTGGCTTTCCGTGCGTCGTGTGGCTGAAAACCTGGAGATAAATGTCTGCGTCCAGGTGAAAAGACCAAAGAGAAACTTGAGGTTTGGAGTCTGTAATCCCCTTAGCTCAGAAGTGAATCTCCTTCCTCACCCCCAGCCACCGGCAGTGAAAAGGATAAGGGAGATTGTGAGGGAAGAGGGACTGTAATCATCTTTTCATTAACCTGATCTCGTTCAAAGACACGATTTACTATCTCTTGCTCAAATCCTGACCTTTGTGTGCAGAAGTGAAGAAGGGACGTGTTTCGAATGAGCATCCTGTGCTCCATAAGGAGGGATTTTCAGTCAGCCGTTTAAAGATAGATGGGAAAATCAGTAAACGCTGAGCGGTACTTAGAGGTTTACATCTGTGGGGGCTGCAAAGGGCGTGCATTGGGTCAAAGGACATTCTGGAGTTTTCACAAAGTCATTTGACTGCCAAGGTTTGAGCCAAAGGGTAAGTCAGCAACTCCATGTGGGAGACACCAGCAGCTGGAGCTGCTCTCGAGTCCCAGCACCGCAGTTCTCAGCAGTCACCGTTAGCAAGCAGGTGCAGTTGTGGTTGTAAGAAGTGGGTGATAACCCACGTAGTGAAGGTAACTCTTAATATCCAGATGCCAGGAAGGATGTCACGTATAGCGTAGGAGAGAGAGACCTCACGGGGTGCTGTGGTTCGGGTGTGAGGTGGTGGTGGACTGGCTGCTGGCCTTGTCGATGTGAGATCACCTCACTGCTGTGTTTGGGAGTTTTTCTGTCAGGCTGCGGAGTCTGTGTCGGTGGAGCTTGTGGTAGGGTCTGGCCTTTTTTCTGTTTGGAAAGTACATCTTGCCCTGACTCAGAAATGCTGCTCTGCACTGAGAAAGCTCAGATTTCCTCTCAAGTAGTTTTGGGCTGCTGACAAACAGCTTATTCCTCAGAAATTCTGATTTTTAACTTCTGAAGCGGTCTGCTGTGTGAGATCAGGGGCCAAAGCTGCGAAGGCGTTTGAACGGGAGATGAAAACTTCAGCACATTTCATTCAGCGCAGGCGACTAGCTCTGGACACCCAGGCTTTTTAACATTCTGCTTCCGATGCTCTCTTACAGCGTCCAGCTCACGGCTTCCAAGTTAATATGAAGTTAGAGGCTGTGGACAGAAGAAATCCCATCTTGATAAGAGTGGCAACAATAGTTGACAAAGACGACCATCGCATTAAGGTATGACCTTGCTTCAAAGTGCAGAGCCCTTGTGCTGAGGGACAGAGGGACTGGCAGAGCAGAAATACCCGTTTGGTATGAGGAGCAGCAAACAAACGCTTTGCACATGGTGTAGCCTACAAGCCTGCCTGACTGGAAATGATTTGGTTGTTTTGTCCTGTTGAAACCCCTGATGGAATTGCCTGGTATTGTTAGTTACTGTTTTAACGTAACTATTTGGAAATAACATTTGACAGCACGATTTTCCATCTCGTAACAGTTCCTGTGCAATCTACGTGAGTGAAGTCAGCGGTAACGTTCTGGTGGGAGGCCACCTGATTTATTTTTTTTTTTTTGCCAAGCATACTTGAAAGAAAATTCAAACCCTGGTACATGTGGGAAGTGGCTTCATTCTCCAGCGTGAATTTGTTACATAAATTGATGTTAACTAATTCCTATCACATAAATATATTGCCAGAAAAATCTGTTGGGCTTTGGCTTCCGAGAAATTAAGTCTGAGCCCACTGAAGTGGAGACTGCACTGATGGAGGCTCCTCGGCCACAGATCTCCTTCCCAAAGGATGATTATGTGGGCAGGAGTGGAGGTTGCTCTCCATTAGCCATCTGATTCTCCGTCTCAGCTGCGATTGCAGAAAATTCTGTCTTGTTCCCTGCAAAACTCACCAAACTTTTGGTATTTATGGTGTTTCGGCATCCTCAGAAAAGCAAACAATGAAATAAGCAGTTGTGTTTGCATAGATTTAGTCTGTGTGGAGTGTGCTGGAGCACCCCGTGGTCTGTGCTTTCTTGCAGACCCTGTGGTTTGACTGTGTCACCAGAATCTGGTTGTTCTGTAAAATGTAGGCGCAGGGGTCAGGAAAACAAATAGTTACACTGAGCACAAAGGACAATTGTGCTCCACTGAAAGGTTGAGTCCATCCGCCCCAAGCTGAGCAAGGGGAAACAAAGGGAGAAACTAAAATAAAAGCCGAGTCATGTCCTTAACTGCATCTCTCACCAAGACTGTGCTTCTTTTAGATCCATTTTGATGGTTGGGACCGTAATTACGATTTCTGGGTCGATGCAGACAGCCCCGACGTTCACCCAGTAGGCTGGTGTGCAAAAACCGGACACGCTTTGCAAGTCCCTCTAGGTAAAGTAGATGACATCATGTTGTTATGCTGAATAATTTTCTGAAGTGCAGTCAGTTGCAGGGAGCATTTTACATGTCTCTCTAATTTTTTTTTTTTATTTTTTTTTTTTGGCGCTTGTTACCAGGTGCTGTTGACCGAGTGGGAACAGTGGGACAAGCGTGTCCTACTCCAGGCTGCCACGGCATCGGCCACGTCAGGGGACCGCGATATGGGACACATTATACGTATGTATAGGAGATCTTGTAAGGGTTCTGCCTGCCAGAGCCTGACTGCTGCCCTTAATAATGGTGCAGCAACAAGCACCTGCACTGCACTGAAATTATCTGGGGGGAGGTTTAGTCTAGAGATACTTAAAACTGCAATTGCAGCTCCCTCTTGTGTCCAAATGTGCTGTTTCATCATCAATTCCGTGTGTACCAATATTAGAACTGCAATGCAATCCATCATAGATTAATCCACTCCAAATTTCTACATTCCAGCATTCCTGAAGGAATGTTTTGGTAAAATAATACACCCAAGAACAGCGCTCAAGGAGAGAGCTGAAGAGAGCGAGAGTGGGGGTAGATTACTGAAGTGTAAGAGTTTGTGCTCTGCCTTTTGATTTCCTACGAGCTCCTGGAAAAAGGAAGAGTTTTCTCAATTAAACTTAAGGAGCAAGAAACCAATCCCAGGTGGGAGGTGGGAAGATCTAATAGTACATAATGTGGTAAAGGGCTTTGAGTTTTTTCAGAGTGAAGCATGACTTTGGTTTCTAACTGTGCCACGTAGGCCCCTGCTTTCCTGCACCTAAAACTGGGCAATCACATCTCCCTGAGTGTTTCTGGCCTCACTTTTTCTGGGTTTATTGATGGATATTGTCTGCCTGAGGCTGGTGAGACCGCGTGACTTAAAAACAAGCGTCGCCATCTCTCTCTCTTGTGTTTTTTTCTTTTTTTTTTTCCTTTTTTTCTCTACCACAGATTAATTGGCTGCCCATATTCTGATGTGAACCTCAACAGAGAAAACTTGTTACAGGACCGCCTGAGTGGGGAGAGACCTTCCCCTGGCCATAGCCTGCAGAAAGGCAAGAGGCTGGAGACTCCTGCCCCGTTTCTGTTGGGAGCGGGAGAGTCTTCTCAGGAGAAATCCAGGTGAGTTGAACCCTTTTCCTGAGCAGATACTGGGGAGCAAAATCATGTTACAAGGCTGAAAACCACAGGAACTGGCAGAGAAGCAGCAGAGCCTTGAGTTCATCTGTCTGTAATATTGACCCGTGCTCCAGACACTCTTAACACAGAGCAATGCACTTTTATACCCTCATATGCCTTAATAGGTTTCTTGATTCCTTAATCCTGCTGCTCTGGTCACATTCCAACCAAGGAAATTGCATTCTGTCTCCATAAATTTTTTTCCTTGCTGTTTCAATTTCAAATATATTGTTTTCCTTCATTTCCTGTCCTAAAACTGTCAGGCAAGGTTATTTTGCTCTATTAAACTGTAACTGCAATCCACCCCAGAGTCGGCTTCCTTACGCTGGTGGGCGTGATGACTGTGTGTATCGCCTGGCAAACAAGTTGAACCCCTTTCTATATTTTATTTTCTTACATGAAAATCGTGGAATCAAGTAGCATCGAAGCAAACTGCGTCCTAATTCTGACTGCAAGAGGCAGTTAAAATGTGTTGTGGGCCAGACCTGGATGTGAAAGCTTTTTTTATTGTCACCTTTAGTCTGTACAAATCCAGTCTCGCTAGGGAAAGGTCCAGCAATATTTTTGGAGTTTCTGGTATATGAAGACTTACAGGCATTTTAAAGTTCATTTATTTGCTGAGACTTAGAACATTTTCAAGATACATTTGGCCGGGAAGGAGGAATTCTTCTCTCCCCTCCCTGGCATATGTGGCCAAAGTTTGCCTCCTCCTACCCAAGAAACGTGCAGGCGTCTCCATTTCCCAATTTTAACACTAGAGTTGATGGCATTTCCATGGGGCCATTGCCATAAAGCTCTTTGAGGAGCTTTAGGATCCTCCCAGAATAAATGGCATTCTCAAATCGCAAAATATTTATATTCTCCTAAGTGTTTAATTTCCTGGTAGTGGGAGGTCTGAACTCAGTATGCAGATCCAATAACACCCACTGCTTCTCCTTCCTTGGGCAACTCTGTAGCTCAGTTTACGCATCAGACTCAGCCGTGGAGACTCTTAAATGTTATCTGCAGGTATTAAGATCCAAAAATCTTAAATCTCTTGATTTTATATAACACGCGCTTCAGCGTGTTTCTTGTAGCCGCTGGGATCAGGGCTTTAGTCCACAGGGGCTGATTTATTTCACAGACTCTCTCTCAATCTGCACTGAGGAGGAAAAAAGCACTTTCTACCGTGCCAGTAGTGGTGGTGAGGAGAGGAAAGGTATTACCACTAGGTGGTAGTTGCTGCTCTCAGTTGCAAGTTGCAGCCAGCTTTGCTCTCCTGCAGGAAAAGGGAACAGAGGATGTCAGCTGAGCTGCTATCATGTATCTGTCTTCCCAGAAAATGTGCACAAGACAGTGAAAAGTTGTGTCAAAGCGATGTTCACAGTCCGTCGGAAACCAAGAGAGAGAGAGACTGGGTGGAAGAGGATTCCTCTGCGGACATCAAAGCCGAACAAAAAAAGTAAATGAGATTTTTGTGATGTGTTTTCCCGCCTTAACAGTTGCGTTTCTCACTGCTGCTGCTGTATCTGAAATACCAATGTGAATCAGCACAGCTCAGTTTTATTAGAGATTGGTAGTGTAGGGTTTTAGAACGACACGGTAAGTCTCCCCCCTTCCTCCCGTTGCGTGGGGCCCTCTCTTCCCTGCAGTAAACTCAATTCTGAGTTCTGGCCATGGGTGTAATAGCACAGTCCTTAGCTTAGAGAGAGGTCAGGGATGGGGCAGTGCTGTTGCTTAGTTTAAGAGGGGCAAGTTTTTGGTTATATCAACGTTTGAAGTGTTTTGTAATTGGTGCTTTCAGGCTTGGTTGCTCGCATGCCTATATAAAGTTCCAGCTGGTGAAACAGGAAAGCAATGGGAAAGGTTGGTTAAACTTTATTTCTTCTGCTCTGTGTGTGCGTCTCTGTGCAATATACACAAGTCATGAGGAGCATTTGAAGCTTTACGGCGTTTTTTGTCTTTGATTCCACAGTCAAGAGAAAGCAGGCACTGGAGGTGATGGCAGCGGTGATTTTTCTTCCTTGAAAATTAGGAGAAAGGGTGAAGTTGCTTAAAAGTGAAAGGTTTAATACTTTGTGAAGCTTTGTATTTATTAGCTGAGAAGGCAAGTGTGCACCATCTCTTGTGCCAGGGCATACCCTTCCGAAGAGGGAAGGGGTTGTTGTTCCCCGAGCAGTCGGTGACTGTTCTGCTGACAGCGCCAGCAGAGGTGTCACGGGAGACTTGCTTAAAACCTGACAGATAGTTTAAATAACATTGACTTCTTTCTTTACACCCCAGAAACATAATATGAATCATTTTGGGTGAGGCCTTTTCTAAGGTTCTCCAAAGGATGAAAAAGAAAACAAAAAATTAAATGGAAAAACAATGCCCTTTTTTTTTTTCCTGGTACGTGACAGGTTAAGTTTTAAGAGAAGCTTTCTGATATCACTTTAGCAAACCATATGCTTAACTTTCAGATTTACTATAAAAAGCCGTTTCAGAGAACTGAGCTGACCAGGCTTTTAGGAGGATTTAACATGGTAATAAGTCTCCAATCAAAAATAGCTAAGCAGGCACAAACTGGGACAGGTGGCTAGCTTTTTCTTTTATTTTTTTAATATTCATTTTTACCTAGTGCTGACTTCTGCAGTCAGAGCTGGAGAAGTCTGCCAGCTACGAGCTGCCGTTGCAGCTGGCAGGGAAAGCTGCCTGCTCTCCCTTCACATTCACCTTAAATGGAATGATGGAAATCAGTGGAGGGAAATTCTCCAATAATCCACTGACCTGAAGTTTCCTGAGTACCCAGGGCTTTCATCCCATCTATGTTTAAACTATTAGGACCCAGCTTTTTTCTTCAGGGGAAAGGAATTTGTTTAGATCGTGGTTCGGATGCTTACCCTGAGGATTGGGGCTTAGTGAAGAAAAGCAGCACATGAAATCTTGGGCATGACTGGGACCTCCTTTGGTGGTGGGAGGTGGGGGCAAGGCCAGTGGAGGGTTGGGGGAGGCAGAGGAGGGTGTCAGCCCTCTGAGGAGCAGTGTCCTGTGCCTTGATGTCACCAGGAGCATCAGCTCTTGAACTAAGCAGTTCTCCAGGCTTTATTTTTTTAAAGCCTGAAGCCTTTGGTCTCGTTTTTGGAACGAGAGACCTGTATTTGATGCTGTCCCACGTCCTTTAGGGAGGTGGAGACAAGGCAGGGTGGTGCAGTTGGGGACAGGAGGATGACCTTTTGCTGGATCACGCTCTACCTCCAGCACTGCTTTCACTTTGGCAAGGCAAATCAGCAGGCAAATCATCGAACTTTTGCTTTTTTCTTTATAATACAGTTTTCCTTTGTGCTTTACACATAGCGACTGGCTCACCCCACAGATCCTTACACACCAGCCTACTAACAACTGTTTGTGCTAACACCGAGCAAACCCAGCAGAGGCGAGCGGCGGCCGTACAGGCGCCGGGCGTGCCAAAGCTTTCTGAAAACGGGAACAAAATGGGAATTGTGCACAGTTCCTGCAGGATGGTACTGGGCAGCCTGCACACAGCCCGGCAGGGTGGGGGGCGAGGGGCCAGCGTACACATTCACCTCTGTAAACCAGAGGAATGTTTCCCATCTTGTTTCCATCCTCTGCTTTGCTTCCTGTTGTATAATCAGGCAAGTCCCTGTAGGACCATGACTCTGCACTACTCGAGTGATCTCATTAGGGAGGGGTGATTTCTTCCTTTTCTTGCCTTGATTTTTAAGGCTTCTATCACTTGACACATGAGGAGGGAGTTGATGTCTGGAGGTAACGTGCAGCACTCCTGCCCTGGGAGCCTCCTGGGGAGGCAGCGAGTCCAGGCCATCACCTGGCACACGTCGAGCTCTTCGCCGGCTGGCTACAGCTGGGAGCTGGAATGATGCCCTTAGTTTCCAGCCGAAGATGCTGTTACCAGAACTCCTCCACCTTGTCAATAAAACGCTGCAAACATCTCTGTTAGCAGCATGACATCATTTTCCAGGGAAGAAGCTAACGATAAAGACTCCAGCCTGGCAATCTTATCTGTTTATTTTTTTCTTCCTCCTGCTCGGGAGGGTAGGAAGAACGCCCTGAAAGCTCAGCGTGCCACGCGGTAGCCGTGTCTGGCTGTCTGCTCCCCCTGCCTTGCTTTTCCCTCCAGAGTGTGACCCTTCCCCTGCCTGCCTGTAATTGCTCCTACTTGAATCCTCTCTCTGACTTGTCTGGTTTCCTTTGGCAGACTCCGATTTGGATCTCCAGCAAGCCCTCCACCAGTCTATCTTCATGCCTTCCCTGGCCTCTAACCCGACCCACCGCCTCCATCTCTGCTGGGAGCAGCACTGCAAGCTCTTGCCAGAGGTCTCGGGCCTCACGGCCAAACACGTGGCCAAATGGACCGTGGAAGAGGTGAGTTCCCTGTTCCCTGCTTGCTTGGGGTGCGGGAATGCCAGAGCCCTCCTGTTTTGGAGTGCTAATTGGAAGGCATCTTTATTTTATTCCCTCTCCTAGGCAGTGCTCTTGTGTTTGCTTTGCATATGCCATAGCTGACTCAGCGAGAAGTTATACCCAAGTCCCTTTATAAGGGAGGGAAAGGATCCCTATTAACCCTCTGGTGGCCGCAGCTCACTTCTCTGAACAGGAGTCTTTCCCTTTCTTTGGTTGTTTATTGACCCCTTGATCTTTTTAGTCCTCGGGCCTGGAACATCGTTCTGACAGCAGATTCTTTTTCTCTCTGATCTCCCTCCTCCTCTCCTCTGACTTTGCTGCTGATTCACTTTTACATTGCAGAGAATTCCAAACCACACTGTGTGTGCCCACTCCTCCTGCGTCTCCCTGCGTGGTTCCCCCTGGAACAAAACTGCCCACAGCCTGACCTGATTTCTGACAGAGGTAGCTGCGCCGCTGGGGGCTGTCTCTGCAGTCCCAGCTCTTGGGATGTCTCCTGTAATTAGGTGGTGTGTGAAAAAGCCGGTATCTTTGTGTGCTGAGTAGTTCTTTTTTGCCTCAGTGCCTTGGGCGTAAATAATATTTGTATCTCCGCTTGGCAAGCAGTGACAATTTGGATCCCGGTGCTTTGAATTCGAGAGGAAGGTGCTGTAATGTTGTGTTAGCAAGGGTGTAGGTAATCTGCAAAGCAGGAGAAAGGTGCTGTTCTTCATGCTGTGTAGAGCATCTTCAGAGACTTTTTGAAAATGTGTTTTCCTTAAGTGCCTCTTACATCAGATAAATCCAGTCTTGACTTTGCTCTTCTTGCTGGAGGACTGCTGGGAGACTGGTGGGATTGCAGCGTCGCAGGAGACAGGAACTACAGTTGAGAAGTTGAGAAGGGGATAGAGCAATTAGTGGTGCTGTTTTAAATCTTGGTGTTTGAATTAAATTCATAGCAAGGAGGAAAAAAATCTCTCTGAAAGATTTGCTGTTCGTATCCTTCTTTAAAGAAAGCTTCCAATGATTTGCCCAAAGGTCTGTTAGAAACTCAGTAAAGGCAGAAGCAGTTAATCCTCTGACATGAAGATCAGAATCTCTTTCTTTCGGATAAAACATGGAGGCTGGTTTATGGAAAAGCAGAGTTGGGATAGAAGCCAAATAAAATTTGTCCTTTGCAGTTGACCTTTAAAGCAAGCGCTGGCTAAATTGAACTGGGATATTCGTTTGATACAGATGAAGGGACCAATGCAGGACACTGGATAGAGCTCTTCAAAACCCAGAGTGCGCTGAGCTGTGCTCTGTGCTGCAGCCTGAAACAGCTGATGGAGTTTCAGCCGCCACCAGGAGTGTGAATGACGTGTGACAGTGGCAGCCCTGCGGCCGAGCGGCTGAAGTAGTTACGGGTTTTGTCTTGAGTTTCAGTCAGGTGGATCTGGTTTTGCAGATGATGTTCATCACGAATTCCCATAGGGATCTCTTTGGGCTCTGTGTGAGCGCTTCCAGGATGAGGGCGTGCAGTGAAATGTCGCCGCAGGTCTGGAAGATGAAAGCAGCAGGACTTGGTGTATTTTAGGGAGTCCAAAGTAGATTTGATCCGTCGGTGCTCGGGCTCCTAACATCTTCCTACAGGGCAAACATTTGCCTTTGGGTTGGGCTTTGAACTCCGCTGCACAAAGGAGACTCTGCTGCTGCTCTGAAACAAGAGCAATGAGGGTGCAAAATTCTCTTTTGCTTTCAGACTCAGGAGCTGTTTTTATTTTACAAAACCCACATTAAGGAAAAAAAAAATGTTGCTTTAATTCTCTCTTGGTTGGGAACAGCTGAACTCGCAGAGCAGCAGCAGTATTTAGCAGCCCTCAAGCTAAGAAACTCTTGGTAACATTGAGCAGTCAACAAGAGTAGTTACTTTAATGCAGCTTTGTTATTTATTGAAAGCTTCCTGTCATGTTTTTGGAGCACAGCTAGCAAAGGATATAGAATCACAAAGAACATTAATATGTGCTGGAGTTGTATTGTTTATTAGTTAATCCTGCATCAAGTGCTAATACCTTGCAGGGGGGACTGTCCTTGTGCTAATTGCTTGTGCGTTAAACCCAGCTCCGCTCTGCAGAGACTCACGAGGCCTTGTCAATTCTGCTCTAGCTTGATAATAAAGGGCTGTGGGAGGCCACCTTCCAACTTTACCAAAAAGATGTACCAACATAATGTGAGATTTCAGTGTGTCACGTGCATATGGGGTTGCGTCAGCCCTTTACACATGGGTCTGGAGTTTCTCGGTTGTTCTCAGAAGGCAGAGTCCGAATCTGCCCCATCTCGCTCTGCTCCGAACCCGGCCAGCACATCTCCCACCCCCATCTCAAGCCCCTCCGGCCTCACCCTTCCCCTTGTTTGAGGGCTGTTTCCTCCAGCCCGTGGTGTCACTGCGTCCTGGCCTCGTGCACCCGAGCTCCCTCGTCCCTCACCTGCCACATCGTGATTTGGGGCCCGTCCCTCCCCTGCCACATCGTGATTTGGGGTCTCTCCTGGGTCTCTCACTGCCCCTCGGTGGAACCCAGGGTCTGCCTTGTGTCCTGGGGACCATCTCTCCTCCTTCCCTCTCTTTTCTCCATTTCTGGTAAAGCTCAGGATTCCTGTTTCTTTAAATAGGAATTTGTGGCGTAGAGTGCTCGCGGTGTCCCCACCGGTGACTTCTGGGACAGATCAAAGACCCGTCGCTCGGTGTCTGTGACAATAGCCAGGAGCAGTTGTGCAGGGAAGGACACAGGAGCAAGGCAGGCTTAGATCATTCCCTGCAGATTTCTGCCAGCCCCTCGATACCAGAGACACTGAAGGGCCCTTATCACCTTGTCCCTAGGGGTGTAGCTGTCCCTTGATTCGGGAAGGTCCCAGACCCCCCCTGCAGAGGTTTTTCATTTATCTTTGGTTATAAGGAAGGGGGAAGGATTCAAAAGGAAAGGAGTATTTTGGTATTTGTTTATAACAGGAGTTTGCACTTCTGCAGAAGAAAATTTGGAGTCCCTGCCTGATGGAGAGTGGATTTTAGGGGTTCCCTTTAAAACAGAGCTGTCCCTGCTAGCAGAAGAAAAGGGCAGAACATGAGAGGGATGCTCTGCTGTCGGGTTACGTAACAGGAACAACAGGAGTCAGAGCTGTTCACCAAAAAGCGGCTTCTGCCAGGGTAGAGCAAAACCCGAGGGCATGCTGACAGCTCCGCTCTGCGTGGTCGGAACTGGGGGAAGGGAATGAACATTAGTCAGGTGGTGGGATCAGCTGGAGACGCAGTGACACGGTTCAGGAGGGAGTCTGACAGGGCTGAGCTACAGGGAAGCTTGTGTTTGACAGTGACCCCTCCTAACTGTTTGTTTGTGTTCGTGGGAGCAATGTCACATCTGTTAGAATTCAGATGAATATGCCTCATGAAACAGAGCTGTTCCTGCGAGGGAGCAGCCAATTAACATGAGATGTTTGATCTGATTCTGCCTCGATATACAAATCTTCTCTGAACCAGTGAAGCTGCAGCTGGAGAAGACAATACATATTAAGTCATCCTCCGCTGCACTCGAGAGTGCTCCTCACGCTCCTTCATCTTACATAATGAAACCCAAGGGCTGCTTGCTTGGCCCCTGGGAGATTATTCCAAACATTAATAGATTTCCTGCTTAGAAAGGTTTTCCCTAACGTGAAATGTAAAATTAACTTTTGGTCCAGTTGGTTCCATGGATCCCCTCTGCACCCACCATAGGTTAAATAGAATCAAAACTTTCCTTCCCAGCTCTTCTGCCTGGTGGTAAACCAGCAGCACTCAGTCGGTTGGTTTATCTTGTCTCTTAAAGGCATATTGTCATGGGGAGCTGTCTAAATCCTTTTATCCTTTTAATTTTACTTTCCAGCAATACTGCAGAGAAAGTGAAGTTGTGGATGGGTTTAAAATAGCATAGTCATATACAGCTTTTAATCCGTAGAAATAGTGTTAGTATTTTATGAAGATCCTTTTGAGCAAAGTGAAGAAACTGGACTTCTACGGAAGGATAAATGGTCAAAAGCGAATACAGGAAGCATTATAGGTGAACACAATCTGTTTTGCACGGATGTTGCAGCAACAGCTCAGTAATGTTTTTCATATAAACCATCACTAATGGGAGAGTTGCCTGTATTGTAGTTTTAAAAATTCTTGCCTCTAGAACTCTCATATGGAAAGAAGACCTCTTCACTTGATGATACCTCATTTTAATCGTCTGTTTTTCTCTTTTCTCAAATACAATTGCAGGTGGTAAGCTTTATCCAGCGTTTGCCTGGTTGCAAAGAACAAGCGTCTGTTTTCAGGGAAGAGGTAAGTGAAGCCTGCCCACCCCCTGCGCCGTGCCGCTGGCGGGTCTGCTGGCAGCGAGGTTGTCTTGTGCCTCGTTCCTTTGGAGTTTCCATGCAGAGAGCACAGACACGCTCAGCCTCGTCGTTAAAAAGCCCGTGGCATTTAGGAGGCAGCTTCAGCATCGAGCCGAAGTCCCGCGTGGCTAATTGCATTCTGCTGCTTGAAATTTCCCCGGCGGTTCCAATCGCCGAGCTTATGCTTGACATCCTGTCTTGGACTGTTGTGCAGCGGGTTTGGCATCGTTATAGAGATGTCCTGTTGGAATGGTGCGGTGAAGATCTCATCTGCTCCCTCTAACGAGCGCGTGTGCCTGCTTCGCTCGGCGAGGCTGGCAGTCGTAGGGTTTCCCAGGAATCGCTGGCTTCCCCCATGGGCTGAGGTGAGAGCAGGAGGGGAGCCCTTTTCTCGAGGCAGCGGTAGCGGTTGGGAAATCAGAGCATCTCCTGCACGTGGAGTGTCCGGTCAGCCCTGCCACGGCCGGGCTGGACTCTGCTCCCTGCTGGTGGCGCATTCACTTTGGCTCCTGAGAAATCTCAGCAGGGTTTGGCAGAGCTGGGTTTTAGCACCCTTCTCTGCGTGGATCGGAGACACGTGGTCTCTGTTGAGCGCTTCGGCTTCCAGGTTACGTCGCAGGTGTGACTCGGAGGCTCTTTATGAGCCCCTGATTAATTGGCACAGGTGTACCTGCCCTTCCACCACCACAGCTCTGAAGGTGAGAGCTTGAGGGATGGTCAGTACCTTCTGTGCTCTGTTCAGTGCTGAGCACACCCTCTGGACCGAGCAGCGTTGCGTGTCCTAGCGACTGCAAAGGGCAGGTTTTTAAGAGATGACTGCTCCCCAGAGCTGGCTCCCTTTCAGGATGAATCAGACTGTAGTGCATTTTGTAGGATTTGTGTATCTGTATTTTGTTTTCCCTTCTAAAAAACCACACACTCAAACAAAATAAAAAGCAGAAGAAATAGAGGCTTGCAAAAAGCACTTTTCTCACTCTAACAGCGTAGCAGACTCTACTGTTCAGTTGAACATAGTGGGAATAACGAAATTTCTTTGAATGAACCAGCCTTCCAGTGTAGCTGAGTTTAAAAGTTTTCTAGCAAAGATGTATTCAAAGGTGAAAGTTTGGTAGGTGAGGTGTGATTAGCAAATCTTCTAGTGACTCCAGTTGTTCACAACGTATTTTATTTCTTCTAGCTGTAATTTGAACAGGTCTGGAGCCCAGCGCCTGCTTTCTGGTTTGGAGAGTGGCATAACCGTGGTCTATTTTAATACCTTCCAGTCTACAGCCTCAGAGCGTGATTCCCTTTGCCAAATGAGAGGGGCTTGGGTTGTTTTTTCAGGTTTGTGCTCAAACCAAATTGTCAGTTGGAAATTAAAACCCTCTTAGCAGGTTGGCTTTGGCCAGAATTCAGGTGTGAGCATCGGGACCGCTGAGCTCTGCCCACGTTGTCCATTAGCTGTAATCAGGCCTTTGAGTGCTCGCCCGGTAGGATAAATAATTCCCTTGCAGACTTGTCTTGGCGGGGGGAGAGGGATAAGTTGCTGCTTATGTTAGGAACAAAGAGAACAAATTGTGCACAGAATTTTAAAAACCGTCCAAATATGATGGAACAAAGAAATGAATGATAAAGCAAAGGCACTGGGATTGTGCTTGTTCCTGGGTCCAGTTCAGGGAAGGTCTGTTTAAAATGAGCATCTCTGAAGCAATGCAGTGAAAATGAAGCATCGTAAAGCGTTTTGAAACGTAAGGCTGTTTTTTTCCAGCAGTTTTCTGCTACTCTTGACTCTGTTATTTAATTTAAGCAGCAGTCCCGTTTGTTTCAAGCTATTTTTAACATGTTCATGGCAGCAGCGTAGACTCCAGGCAGCTCACAAGTAAGACTGGGAGATGCCGTGTGGCCGTCTGTGGACTGGGAGCACTGCTGTCATTTCCAGTCCAAGTACTGGGAGGTCGAGTAACTTGCTGATGGTGTTTTGTGTGCTTAGAGAAGGGGAAACCAAACCTCCTGGTTCCCAGCTCTTTAATTATCTGCTCGTCCGAGTTGATTCAGTGCATCCTCTTGCACCAGTCGTTGACGTCCGAAGAAGTCGTAGTTAGGAAAAGTACAGAAACAGAAGAATTGTTATTCTGGAGGAGTTGAGTGTCTGGTCTTGTCTGCTGCACTGGTGAACATCAAGTGAGAGGGTGAGGTGCTGTCACTCTGCAAATGGACTTTAATGGAATAATTTAGGGAGACACATATCGTTTGTCTGTGTCCATTAATCTTTGGCTGCTTCCCTGCAACATTTGGGGTTTATATTAATTATATCCGTGTTGTCTTTGTGGATGTTCTTGTAAACCCAAGGAAATTTTTAACCTGTTCGCAAAAGAATACGTAGCGATTTCACTCGCTGCTACCTGGAGCATCCTGTATTTTCACAAGGTAGTGTCGTTTTCACTTGCTTGCTTTGAACCTAATCAAATATCTTCTTGGGAGAGCGCGTGTGTAAATCCAGACAGATTATATGAATTTGCTGTGCCTTTTTTTATGTAGCACATGATCTCTTTTACCGGGTGCTAAGCAAGCCCGTGTAGTGTCATTGAAGACAAGTTCACGATAGTCTCCTGGTTCTCCTTTAAGCAGTGACTTGGTGTTTGTGGGCATAGTACGCCGTAGTTGTGAGAGTAGCCAGACATTCACATCTCAGGAATTTTTTCTCCCCTGTAAGGTTTTTAGCAGAGCTGACCCAAAAGAAGCAGGAAAAAAAAAGGTTCGTTTGCTTGAAGTTTTGCCCCGAAGAGCTTAACAAGGGTTGAGGAGCCTGTGCAATGACAGTATGTAACGAATGCACTAGGAAATGGTGATTTTATATTTCTAATCATCGTAGATTAGTGTAATATATGGATTCTTGGATAGCTGCCTCCTGAAGAATCGTGTTCTGGATTTCCTGATCTAATTTCTGGCCACAGACTGTGAAAAGGCTGTAGGATTTTTGACAGTTGTTGGCTTTTGGAGCAATTCTAGTGAATATAGGATGTGATGAACCTCTGTCCTCCTCATGGTCTCTCTCCATAAGCCTTGCCCACACTTGGGCTTCTTTATTTCTAAAAAAAAGGGTGGGTAGAGAAGGTGCGAGACCCTTGGCCAGGGCAGCGTGCCTGGGAACCTCACGGGGGTGTGGGTGCTAGGACTGGGGGAAACACAAAGTGTTTCAGTGTTCAAACCCGTGTTCGTGCTTTCATTTCTCGGTTCAAAGCACGTTGTTTACCTGGCCGACCAGCGGTGAGAATCCCTCCTCTCCCTCTGTGGTAATGCTTATCTCACGTTGTGTTTTCCAACCTCTAGCAAATCGATGGCGAGGCCTTCCTGCTCCTGAACCAGAGCGACATAGTTAAAATCCTCAGTATCAAGCTGGGTCCTGCCCTGAAGATCTACAACGCCATTCTCATGTTCAAGTCTGCAGAAGAGAACTGAGGAGAACCCTTGGGCAGAGCCCACGAGGAGCTGACAGGGAGCAAATCTTCAACCGAGAGCATTACAACGTGCCCCACAGGCAGTTTGGGAACTCGTATTTCTTTTAAAGAGAACTTATTAAAAATGTTTTGAGGACGTAAAAAAGAAAAATAAATCCTGCCACAATCTGGAATACGGGGCAGCTTCACTTCCAAGAAGAGGATATTATTATATTTTGTAATCGAATTTGGTTTTGATATATCAATCTCTTTTTGAGATCTAGAAGAAACCTCCAGTTCTAAGGGGAATCCAGGGTAACGTTGGTGGAGCTGCAATAGCAAGAAGAAAGCTGTGAGTAAAAGAACTGCTGCGTCCAATGATAGTGCCTGAAAGAGAGACTGAATTATCACCAGCGTGTTCGTTTTATTCTGTGTGTCGAAAAACTCCGAGAAGAGACAGTAAGAAAATGGGAAAAAAGATGCACTTCAAACAACTCACCTGTATCCTCTAGTGCTGTGACTCAAGAACTGGCCTTTTCAGGACTGATTTTTAAATTCCAATTTCTCCTGCTGGTCCTGGTTGATCTAATACCCTTGGCTGCGGGGCTGCCCACGCCACGGCAGGAAGGTAGCGCTGGGCTAGAGGGTTCCACCAGCAATGGAGCGCGTCCTTTTGGGTATCGAGTGAAATGTTCTCATCTGTGTCACCAGAGAGTGGGAAGCGAGCCCTGTCGAGACAGGATTTGGGTAGGCAAAGATCTCTCATAAAGACATCTCCCACGGGAGACAAAGGTAAATATTTCAGCTGTAATTCTCCCGTCAGTGTTCATGTGCAACTGCTGGCTGGTCCAGGAACATCTCGGGGCGAAATGGCGCCTTGGGGAACACTTGGGTATGTGGTGGGTTCGTTCTCGCCCTTTCCCCTTTCAGTCAAACGCTGGGAACATGGGTTGGAAGTGTGTAGGGATGCAAACACATTTCCTAGAAACATCTTGTTTTTCTTTTCGAACAGTTGAAACTCGTGAAGGTTTTAGTGCTTTGAGTTTTCCAGCCTCCAGGTGGGCTGTGGCCCCTCCAACCCAAGAGTCCTGGGGCTGCAGCAGTCGGGCACCGGCTCCTCTGCCTCTCTGGTGCGGAGGGAGGCTGAGCTTTCCTGGAGGGGAATGAGGGTTTGAACAGAGAGCAAAGCGAGGTGGGATTTACTTCTTGAACGAGAGAGCTCATTTCTGCCAGGGAGGACGCAAAGCTCGTGGCTGTGTTCCTGTGCAGGCAGTCGGTGCTCTCCGGGCGGGAGGAGAGGACAAATATTTCCTGCTCTGCTCAAAGTCAGAGCCTGGTTTTATGAATGTGCACGTGGGAGTGGATGTCCTGGATGGGGCATTTCCGCACGGTTACTTCCAGAAGCCCTGGGAGAAGCGGTGAGTCCCGCTGGGGCTCTGCTCAGCGTTACCCTTTTTGCCTGGCAGCACGCTGGCTCGTGACTCTTCCTCTGCCCGCTCGCTGTGATAGATATTTGGCTGTTCTTGGGTTTAGCTAGAACCTCTCGGCTAGGGAAGCCTTTTCACCACTTCGTTCAGAGGTGCTGGGCTGAACCCTGTGTACGTCAACCGTTCCGAGCGCCGGGAGTGTTGCTGACCACCAGCCCCTGCCCAGGGTTGCAGGAATTTCTCAGGGCGCTGCGTGACGATGCGGGATCTGTCCGTAGGCACATCAGACTCGCTCCTCCTCTGTGGGCATCTTTTTCACCAGTGTTGTCGCTGGAGTCCAGTCCCAGCCCTGCAGCTTCTAGGAGAGCTTCTCCGTTGGGAACGGAAGGAACACGCTGCCTGTGACCGTGTGATGACACAAGGAACGCACTTGGTCTTCCTTCCTTCATCACTCCGTGTCCTTTGTCCAACCTTCCAGAAGCTGAGAAAGTCCTTGTGACTTGCCTAAAGTACTAAGTTCCTTAAAATTGTAAATAGAGCAGAATCCACACCGCTGGAGCTGTTCAGTCCTGGATTAATATATAGAGACTTGTCTCTGTACTTTCTATTTTTTTATAAGATGTTAAGGAGTTTAAGCTTTCTGCAGAGAAGATGCAGGGTCGGTGGGATATTTAATAGCTGTAATATTAAATATCAGCCAGGCAACCGCAGGAGAGTAATTTAATGCAGTGTTAAGGACTAGACAAGACATGCATTTAATATACTAAAATACATTTTTAGTACGATAACGGGGATGGTCACCAAAGAGTCACATTCTTTCATCCCGCTCCTCACATCCGTCGTCAGTGAAGAGACTCGAATCGCAAGTGGCACGTCCTGCGCTCTGACACAACTCGCCTTCTGGGCAGAGCAAAATTGTTTCCTGACAACTGGAGCAGAGGATCCGTAGCTGAATCTGAACTGGTTTGTTCGTGGCTCTGTACTCACTTGCCGAATAACCCTGCGCCCTTCTGTGCTCCCTCTGGGACGCCCGGCCAGGTGGGGTGAGTGCGGTTTCGCCTCGCATTTTCCTTCTAGCAAGCAGGTCCTGCCAGGTTTTCTGTTTTACCACCTTCCTTTGGGAAACGGAGTTGGGGGACAGCAGATTGCCTGCAGCAATAAAACCGAATGTGATATTATTTCATCTCTTTTACTATATATAGATAGAGGATGAAGAGAATCGGTGAAGATTCTAGTCACTGAAATTATTTAAACAGAGAGAAATCTTTAAGCCTAGAGGCTTCCAAGCCAGCTGGATCAAAGATGAAAATGTACTTGGAGTTTGTTCAGTGACAGCAAGAGTAGTGCTTTCAGCAAGGAGGAAGGAGGAACCCTTTTAGGGATAGAGGAGGAGGAGGAATGCGCTTCTTGTGCCTTTTTTCTATAATCCGGGAATTGTCTTTGCAGAGCAAGCAAGAATGTGCACACATCTCTTACTGACTCCTTGCCCAACCGTAGCTGCATTCGAATAAAATCAAGCAACTTCACAATAACACAAAAGCAAAAGTGATTGCCAGCGTCCTCAGTGGACGCGGTAAAAATTCTGTGATTATTTACAAGACGGAAAAACAACACAACCAGCTCATTTCTCAGCCCCGTAACTTCGGAATTCCTGGGTTGCCGATGCCGTCCCGCTTTCACATGTGGGCGGTGACTCGGTTCTGCCGCCTCCTCCCCGTCCCGCTCGAGGTCCGTGGCGAGGGCTCTGCGGCTGCCTTGGATTGTCGGGTGCCTTGTTGTCTGATTTGAAACATGCACTTTGAAGCAGAAAGCCAAAAAGCTGTGGCTCTGCGGTGAGCTAAAGCTGAAACTGGTTAATGCCACCTGGTTTTAGGAGGCTTTTGCTGTTTGCTCAGTGTCAGCAGAAACCAGCTGTTGGCCCAACTGCACCCAGAAGTCACTTAGAAATGAAATATTCAACTTAGAAGCCACCCAGAGCTGTGAGAGCTTCCCGTGGGCTGGCAGCGTGGTTGGGAATTCTTGGTTCTCAATTAAAATGGGTCTTACTCCGGTTTTGTTCTTGGATCCCTGTTCTTGAAATCCAAACTGGTCCCATTTTTTATTTTTCTCCTTGATAGTTCAGCCCTGTTAAAGTGTTTCTGTGCCGTCACCAATGCTCATCCTTGTAATCCGGGAGCAGCAAATTTCTGCTCTGGGTAATGAATCGCTTCAAAGTCGGGCAAAAAAAGTATTTGGCGACACCCATAGCAAAACTCTACAACCAAAGGAGAGGAACAAAAAAAAAAAAGAAAAAAAACCCAACAAAAACCCGACCAACGTGAGGGATAAGCCAGCTCAGCTGTAGGAGATTTCCTGCCTGCTACTTTCTTGCCCTGCTTAGGGTTTTATTCCCCAGAAAGCTTTAAAATTTTTGACATTCCCCTCCGCCATGTGATGAGCTGGCTTATTTTTGAAATTCCTGTCCCTGGAACTGGAAACACGTGCAGGGGGAGCGAGCGCGTTGGCTCGGTTCAGCCACTGAAACGTTTGCCTGTTGTAAACCAAACAAATACTTCAGATGTTTTGACGCTCGCTGTGCCATTGCGCTCCACCGACGCTTTCTTTTGGAAATGTGAATAAAGTTAATATAAGTTCAAACTCGACTCCTTCTTTCCGTTATTTGGGTTGCTGTGAATCGACGTTAATGCATTTTGGGGTCTTTGTGTCTGTTTTACCTTCCCCAGCGCCCTGTTGTGCTTCTTCCCTGTGTCCCCTCTAACAATTCTAATTACCTCACCTGGGCGTTTGCGTCTGCTCTAATTGTAATTAGCTGATAAATTGCAAAACGCTGAGCTGGGTGCCGACAAAGTGGGGTTTTCCCCCCAAATCAGGTGATGGCAGCTTTGCTCCAGATCTTCCCACAGGTGTTTTTGGTGGAGCCGAGGCATGTCCCCTCGGGAAACTCCAAGGATTGCAGAGCTGGCACCCGGTGTCTGAGCTGTCCCATCATCAAGGTAAACATTCACTCTCGTTTTTTTTCTTTTCTAAGTGTTTTTTGCTTCTATTTAAACCCCGGCTCGTTTGCTTTTGTTGCCCTGATCGGATTCCCAGCCTGGTTGGCCAAGGTGTTTCTCACACACTTGGTAACATCAAATTTTTGGCTTTTACTTGCTCTGTTCGTTCCCTGGGGGTTCTGCGGGGCTGCACGCTTGTGTCGTTGCAGTTGTGATACCTGAATTTCCCTGCAGAAGGGACTTTTTTTTTAACCAAGATTTTGATGGAGAAGTCTGAACAGAGCAGGGTGCATTAATCACCTACATGTCGGATTATATTTGCAGATTATTCTGCTCAGGCCCACGTGGAATTTTTTGTCCCGAGTCGTGTTTCTCCTTGGGCAGGAACAACTTGTAGTTTATTTTTTGCCTGCTTGAACGCTCGAATTGATCTGGGGTCAGCCTAGCTCACTGGGACTGATTTTTTTCCCTCATGCTGAGGCTCTTGCACGATTCCCCGGTGGTTTTTGCGTGCTTACTCGAGGGGTTAGAGGGGTCCCTTTGATTTAAGGTGAAGACAAAGTGTGATGGAAGGGACGTGCCACACTCTGCATTGCACAAAC